AAATCTTCTGATGAGGGTCCTCACAGCTCAGGATAAAATCCAAACTCCTCATTAGAACAGGCAAGACCCTGAGAGTTTGTTCTCACCTACGCTCATCTTTTGCCTCTAAACCCTTCATAATTCACGATCCAGATTCATTGATTACCTGTGAATTCATGAAGGCTCATTCTCTCCTCACATGAAGAAGAATGGTTGAGACCCAAAGAACTGACCAGCAGAGCCCAACCTAAACCACCAGTGCATGGAATCAAGAGCTACATGAATGGTGCTAGTTTTTACCCATTGACTTTCAGGGTGATTTGTTACTCAGCAATAGCTAACTGCTACAAATGGACCAGAAAAATCAGAGATGACTTCAAATATCTCTGACTCCAAGCCAAGGGAATGTGATAAGGGCTTGATCACTCCATGCCCTGCTGAATGAAGTCATCCTCCCTATAAATGAAAGAGGAAAACAATAGAACCACCCTAGATCAGGAAGATGGAGCCATGGTGTCTTTGTGAGACTATTCTGGCTGCAGTGTGGAGGATGGATTTGAGAGGGGAAGCCTGGAGAAAGGGAGAGACCAGTGAGGATGCTGTTACAGTACAGATGCAGCTTGAATAAAGGATGGAGAAGAGTGGAGAGATTCGAGACATATTTAGCAGTTAGATTCTCTGAGACTTGATGACCGATTTAACATGGGAGGGGAGGGAGGATGAGGGTAACTCTCAGGTCTTAATTCAAATATCTTTTAGGAAAAAGTGCTGAGGTTTGAGTCTGAGCTCTCCCTATAACACAGTATCTCTACCTCAGCATTACTGGCATTTGGGACTGGGTCATATTTGGTCGTGGGGAGGCTGTTCTGTGCATTGTAAGATGGTTAACAACATCTCTGGCCTCTACCCACTAGAGGGCAGTAGCACACACAATCCCACCAATAACAACAGTTGTGGCGATCAAAAATGTCTCTAGACGTTGCCAATGTCCACTGGAGAGAAAATCGCTATAGAGATGGAGCCCCCGCATTATTCACAGGAACTGCCTGACCCACTGCTTAAGTCACAGTAGGCCCTCAACGGGAGTTCAAATCCTGGTTCTTTCACTTAATAGCTGTGCATCCCTTGGCAAGTCACTTCACCTCTCTGAGCCTCCTTGTTCTCATTCCTAAAATAAGGATCATGATCACTACCTAAGAGGATCGTGAAATGAGGTGATTCTTAATTAAGTAGGTAAATAAAGAAGGGCAGGCCCTCTGTGCCTTCACAGGTGGAGTTGTTAGAGAAGAACCCATCTCGACAGCTGCACCAATAGCTTCCCAAGAAGTAGGAACACTCAGAATGCTCTGGGAATATCTCACTGGAGAGGTATTCATTGATGTCTGAGGAGCAGTGGAGGAGAGTGAGCAGACAAAAGATTGGGTGTCTAGGGTGAGAAATACATGTACTCAACTCAATGGTAGCTGTCCACCAAAGACCATGCCTGAGAGCCTGAGAGCATTACCTGTACAGGCGAAACGACCTGGCTTTCCCGGGTTCCAGTTGGTTCCAGTAGGAGAGGAGAAACCAGGCAAACAGCTGCACTTGTACCTCCCTGGCAGGTTTTGGCAGATTGAGTTAAGACCACATTGTAGGGGGTTTTGAGAACACTCATCTATATCTGGATAGAGAAAGAGTCAGAGTTACAAAGTTGCCTCATCTTGTGAAGCCCATTGTATTTTCCAAAGATGGTTGAAACAATGTTTCCCTCCCATATGTCCTTCATTCAGTGAGACCTTGGTACTCCATCCATAAGCAGTGGGGTCTATATTCCCTCCCCTTGAATCTGAGCATGCTTGCGACTATGGTGGAAGTGACACCAGGTCATAAAAATACCATGCTTAGTCAGAAGAATGTCATGATAGGTCGTAGAAATATAATGTAATTCCTTCTTCTCTTGAGATGCTCATTCTTGGAAATCAGCTGCCATACTTTGAGGAAGCCAACCAGCCATGAAAATGCAGCTCACATGGGGCAGAACTAAGACATCCAGCCCACAGCCCTGGGGGAGCAGCCAGTCAACAGCCAGCACCACCTCGCCAGCCTTGTGAGTAGACCCTCTTCAAAGTGGATCCTCTAGCCTCCAGTTGAGCCAACTCAACTGACACTGTGTGGAATAGGGACAAGCCATCCTCTCCAAACTCAGCCCTAATAGCAGATTCACTCATGAG